CAACATGGAAATAGATTCTGAAAAAGGCTCTCCAATCTTTCTCTCTGTACGGTATTAGTCTCAGGCGTTTCTAACGCTGTGTGTAGACACACTCGCACACTCTTCTTCCATATGTACTCCCCCAGAACTCGGATGCTGCAGAGTGTCTGTGTGACTCCCTGCCCCCCCCGTCAAGACCTGGGGTCTTTGAACCTCCAACCTGCAGCGCCACTGCCTTTAATCTGGCGAATGAGCCTTTTCAGCCTGTCTGCTCCACATATCGTGGCCAGGAAAGTTTGCAGCTGCTTCGCATTTGACTCACTTCAAGACAGGCAGCCCAGAGAAGAAGGGGGTTTGTTCTTGGGGATTAAAGACACTCGTGGCACTAGAAGCGTTTGATGGCAGTTTAACAAGGCCAAACGGCAGCTCACTGGCCATCAGTGCCTCCTCAGGCTCTTATCCCAGGGCTGCCGGTAACCTGGAAGCAGCAGAGACCGGTGCATTTCAATGCCGCTAATCAGCTGCACCCTGACCCCCGCGCTCTTGAGAAGAGACAGTTGTTACATTGCACAAAGCCCTCGAGAGCGCTCTCATCGGGAGGCTGAGAGAGAGAGGGGCGCTCCTTCGCCAGCAGGGGAAACTGAGCCCGGCGCAGGGGCCCAGCCAGAGAGATCTTAATCCTGACCAGGTGTGCATGCGAGCTTGCGTGCATGTGTACATGTGCGTTTGTGCGTCTTCTGTGTGAGAAAGAGCAGAACCAGCGCAAACCTGCCATCCACTGCAGTCCAGTCCAGGGCCAGGACATCCGTGCAGAACTGTAGAGTTCATTCCAGTCCACTGTTGCCCAGATCAGAGGCGCTCTCAAAAGGGTTCTGTAGATTTCTGCATTCAGCTTTTCTGTTTAAGGCTTAATCAGTCACGGTAGCATTTGTCCTGTTCACACTTCATTTGCAGTGTGGGAGCTCTCTTACATAAATAAGTCAAGGATACTTCATGTAAACAAACTGTTTATTACTCAGTTTATAACAGAAAGTATACAAAATAACACTATGATGACCAGCAGATCAAGTATCTGGCAAGCAATATTTTTATGCTGTTATTAACATGCTCTTCTTCTCTACTCTTTAATCTGATCATTTTCAGCCCGTCTGCTCCACACGCTGTGACCAAGAACATCTGCAGCTGTTTCACATTTGAGTCACTTGAAGACAGGCAATCCAGGACTTCTCAGGATTTCGGGATGTTTCAAGCGATGCAGCGAGGGCTTTTCTGAACCTCACGGAGAAGCAGGCTGGGAAGGCCCACAGCTGACCGCAGTCATTACACTGGTCAGCCAGTCAGCACTGACCTGAGCTTCTCAAGCATGCTCAGGGCTGGAGCTCCTCAGCATCTGTGGCTGCAGCTTCTCCTCCCTGCTTCCTGTGTTTTCTAAGAGCTGTGGGTGGATGAGCTGCTGTGACTTCTCTGCCTCGAAAACCCCGCGTTGATTTTTACCACCACTGACATCTCGTGCACGTGCTGCAGCGGAGACGTTGTGAGGCGCTACAGAAACACGCCGCTTGCTGGCGGTGTTTCATGTTCGGCTTTTTGTCTGGTTGCTGCCGGCTGACGCGGAGGTGCCTGATCCTGAGATGAGAGGAGCCGGAGGAGTGTGATGTTGACTTGGGGACTGACGCACGCCAGCTGCTGCACCCCTCTGCACGGGCCCCCGCTGGCGCGGAGACAGAGAGGAGGGGAGTCGCCCGCGGCCTCGCTGCTCTCCTGGATCTGAAGTGACCGCTCTTCGTCGGACAGCGCTGCCCATTCGCTGGTAGGGTCATGACTTGACCTTGCTGCAGGTCAGCAATTAAATCATCCAGCCGTGCAGTGGATTCCAGTTCACGGTAATGTGTAGTGTACGTGATAACACCAAGCATAAAAAAGAGCAGACACACACACACCGTCTTGCAGCTTAGCTCTGGGTTCTGCACAGAGCCTGTTGTAGATGTTGAAGCAGAGGGCTTATATTCTCTTTCTGTCAGGCCAGACAAAAAGTGATGAATTGATGATGATAATGATGATTATTTTTATTTTTATTCTAATAAGAAATCATGTTAAATAACCCCGAAGGATCCTGACTGTTCTAAAGCAGTATTAACTCAGTGGTGGGGTGGAGCGGTTTTGTTATTTTTCAGTACGGGCTGAATTCTCATGCGAAGAGAGTTTACTGTGACCGTGCACAGCTGTGAGCAGCTTGTTTCTTATGAGACTTAACTAGAAAAGCACTGGGACTCTACAGACCGGGGGGTAGTATCCCAGAAACCTTTGCAAGAGATGTGCTTCATGGGAACCTTCGCAATGTAATCCGTATTTGGCTCTAAAGTTGTTGTGTTTTTTTTAAAAGACTCCGCAGGCCTTCAGACCTGCTGTTTTGTACTGGTTCCTGGCTAGTCACGGTTCAGTGGAGAGCTGTGTCCTTTTTAATACACACTGGATAACCTCGCCGTGATGTTAATCCCCCATCTCTGCCTGTTTCATTTAGAAAGGGAGTCAAGGGGAAAAATAAGAAGAGATAAAAAGCTCTTTGAATTAACCAAGGCAGCGGGAGACTGCTGAGCTAGAGCTGTCTGGCCTGCTTTGAGAAGTAGCCGGGAGAACAGTGCTGGCAAGCTGGCCTGTTTCGGAACTGGGTTCAGGGAGCTGAGCAGAGCCGGCCCACAGGTCCCTGGGTCTGAACCTGCGGCCAGGGAACAGCTGCAGGGCCAACCCCTGCAGACACCTGCCCAGGACTCGTTCCTCCTGACTGCGTGGCTGGTTGCAAAATGATTTGTGTTTGTGCGAGCTGCCACACGGGGCTCGAGACAAGAGAGAGTCTGAGCGCGTAGAAGCGGGCCATCTCCACCGGACCGCACCGGGCCAGCGGGCTCGGCTCCAAGCACCTCAGGGGCACGTGTGTGGGAAGGGGAGTTCAGACAGCACGCTCACCTGTCAGCGAGCACATTTCCTCATTTCAAAATAATCCCATCCGCCTGTAACAGGCCGACTGCAAGCTCCTGCCAGGTATCCCAGTGTCCCAGGGCAGCAGCGGGCTGTCTGGGTCCAGGCAGATTTACGGACTCGGGGGTCTTTGGTGGGAAAGGTCATGGCGTCGGGCTGAGACTCAGCTTCTGCCCCCTCTGAGCTTCACTCGCCCATGCCCTGCGGCCCCCCAGCCTCTCCTGGGGCAGCTGTGCCCTGTGCTCCCAGCATGGCACGGCCCTGAGTGCCGGCAGCCAGCTGGCGAGGAGTAGGGGGCAGGCAGAGGTCAGAGGTCAGAGGCCCCCAGGCAGTGGTGGGGGTGGTGAAGGGGTGCAGAGTGAGATTCCAGCAGTGGCAGGAGCAGAGAGGGCCGTCTCCTCTCTCCCAGACGGCCACAACGCTCCTCCGCAGGCAGCTGGCGCCCGCCGGCCCCGTTTGCCACAGGAGACGCAGGGACAGCTCGGCTCAGCCTGTCTCAGACACAGTCTCCTCGGTCTGGGCTTTTGCCACGAGTCCGTGTCAGTGATGCCACCTTTAAACTCTCCGGCTGCCGTTTGTTACCTTAAATAACTTCGTAGAACTGTCTGCTCATTCTACACTTCATCAAAATAGATCAGACGTGTCTGTTACCTAGTTATTTTCATTGAGGGCACAGAATGTCTTTGGGTGTTTTTTTTCACCCTTCCCTGTCTATTTTGACTGGGTCCTGACAGGATGTCTCAGCTGGGCATGTCTGGCCACTGGGCTGCCCAAGACTGGCCTGTAGTCATTAGACCTGTATTAAGTAATGGCAAATAAACATTAAACAGTGCTGTATTGTCTACTTTAAATGAAAATAAATTTGAAAGTAGGTATGCTATCGAATGGATGACTAGCTGTCCAAAGCCGGTAGCTTCTCAGGAAAAGTGAAGTTCAGGGACTTTGATCCGCGGCGTGCTGTTTTTCTTAGACAGGGCGCGATCTTCCCTGTGTCCACCAGAGGGCGCAGCAATTACCTGAGCGCCTCGAAGGTTTCCCGAGCGCTTCAGTCTCCCGCACTGTACTGCCAAAGGGAGGAGACAAATCTCATGTTTTATATTCGCCAAGCGCCACCGAGTGTAAACAAAGTTTATAATAATGGTACACAAACTTTAGTGCATTTCCGCCCTGGCATGAGGACCAGTATCCAAGTTCTCCAGTGCTCACTGTGGAAGTGTCACTTGAACTAACTTGCACTAGCACGCGCAATTAGTGGCTAATAACATATTAAACGTGCACGCGATGAACTGGGACAGGCTTCAGACTCAGGAAAGCAAACATTCAGCAACTGACGGTTTTCGTCATGAGCCGGACTGGAGTCTCAACCTATCACTCTGTCTTCGGAATAACCGCGGAGAAATCACTCCCAGGTGCTCCCAGCACCACCCTTTACCAACAGAAAACGAGATTAAAAACGATTTGATGATCTGAATTAGCGAAGCTTGAGCGAATAAAGGACATTATCAGACGTCAACGTGACTTTTTAAACAGATATCTACAGTATATTATAGATATTAGCGAGAAACACGTATTTTAGGAGTTGACTTTTAGAAGAAGAAGTTTTAAAAAAAATTAAAATTGCGAAGTGATTGCATTTTCTCTTGTGCGGGCAGACTGGTCGCTTCATCCAGGTGGATGCTGCACATTGGTGCTGGTGGAGGGGATCCCCATTACCTGTAAAGAGCTTTGAGTGGAGTGTCCAGAAAAGCGCTATATAAGTGTAAGCAATTATTATTATTCATTCTCTCCAGGCCCTTCCTCGGGGGTACAGGCGAGCCGCTGGCCCGTGAGACGCGCTCGGAGCGGGAGGGATCCCGGGCCCTTGTCCGGCTGCTGTTCAGATGTCATTGAATGAATATATATATATAACTACAAAATGCAATAACTAAGACTGATGAGTACACCTCAGTAAGGTCCGCAGTCAAAACGTGTGAGTTCGTCTTTATTTTAAACGTTTCAGCCCTGGCGTTAACCCATCTCCTGTTCCTAGGAGCAGCACACCCGCGGCGAAGCCCGCCGCCGTTGACAGAGCTGTTAAAACAAACGTGGACTTCAGAGAAAACGACAGAACGCCTAGCAGGTGACAGTCGGGCTAGACACACCTGTCAGGAACTCGTGACTGGAAACGAGTACCTCTGTCCCATGGCCAAATCCCTTATAAACTGGCATTAACGACTCCGTGAGTGATCCTCTGCCGTTGTTTTATTCTTGGGAACGTATTGACCCGTCGGAAGCCGAGGCGCTTCTGACCGCTGTGGAAGTCGGTTCGCGGGTGGGGTCAGGAAACACCCTCCGCCTCCCTTTACCCGTTTCCCCGGCTCGGGCTCTGCCTGGAAACACATACGGACGCTTTCGTTAAAAGGCCTGTCGCTCCGAAAAACATGTAAAAAAAAAATACAAATAAGTTTATCGGGGTCCTGGAGGGAGAGAGGGATTTGGATGAAGATGTAAGTGGGTCTTTGTTATCCACTGACATTCACCGAAAAGACGGGTGGGGGGAGACGGAGCAGCAGATTGAAAGCAAAAAGCAAAGGTCTTGCTAAAAAGCTACTTGGGGGGATAAGCAACTGAAAGGTTCAATTCGCTTGTATCTACTTTACAAGCACAAACGCATTGATTAGCCAGCCAGCTGATGGCCCGGCCGCGGAGACTATAATGGGAACACCTGGTCCTGCCCGTGGCTTGAGAAGGCCGTATCTTTAATCTTCAGCAGCGGCGGGAGCAGACGGCTTGTGCAGCCTGATGCTCCAGCCTCGCCGCTTATTGTGGCAGCGCTTTGAAGTCCTCCCTCCCCTCCTCACTCAACAGAATGTTGTTAAGTTCAAAGCGAAGAACAGAGGCGATTCTGTGCTTTTAAATTATTAGCTCCCTAAGTCCTCTGTAATGATATAGTTTGACTGAAGTGTGCAGTTTATTAACTACATAAAGACGATATTATTAGAGCAGAGAAAGGCAATCGCGAGATTCGCCTTTCAGCTTAGCAGCAGGAGTTTGTGCCTCTTTGATCTCAAACACCGCTAAATGTCTTTGTGAGATAGTGGGAGCTCCTGGAACTAGCACAGAGATCGTGGCCACATCCATTATTAACTTCTTCTCTCCCTCTCTTAGAAATTAAAGCGTTATTCGTCTCTCTTTAAACTGTATTTATTTTTTTAAAAGAGAGACCCGTTCCGTGCGGTTTCTGCTGTGCTAACACCGCCCCTGGCCTTGCGAGAACTCTGCGGGACCGTCAGCCACGGCTGTCGGGGCTCCGGGGTCGAAGGAAGACCGGCGCGGCGCGTAACCCGGACCCGCGCTGCGGCTGGCTCGGACGGCCCCGGAGCCGGTTTCACTGCCTTCGTGAAAACGCGCAACCCAGCGCGCTGCCTCGGCGATCTATCTCAGTTTCTTCCTTGGTCTGAGCTGATCAAAGGGCGCAGATTGAGTGTCAGGGGTTTATTAAACGCGTTATGCCTACTCGAAGCGGTGACATCTTAACGCGCGATGAAAAGCCTGGCCTGTAAAGTTAGTTTCCGTGCTCCCACAGCTGGGAACTTCTAACCGGGCAACCCACCGGCTCCTGCTAAATCCCAGAGCAGGAGGAAGGGGGCAGCAGAGTCTCTTTGTTCTCTGACAGCTTGTTAAGCGGGGTAACAGCTGTCTTCCTCAGTGGGACCCCGTATTTGTGAACCTCAACCGAGTTTCGTTTACGTGACAGGTGTCATGTCTCCAACTCCCCTGTCTCCGAGCCAGATCACACGTTTTGCAGGATCACTAGTGTAAGCAAGCGGTCCGTGTCTATATCTCAATATCGGAATCTATTACAATTCCAACACTTGATTCTTATTCTTGGCGCATTTCTTACAGAGAACGGTTCCACGGAGAAAAAAAGTATCTCGTTTATACGAGAAACTTATTGCGGTTATACGAGAAAAGTATCCCGTTTATAGTATAAATTATACGAGAACACTTGCGTTTAAACGCAATAGTCCATTTGTGAACAATGTTGTCTACTGTGTCATCCAGGTGGGGCTGCACATTGGTGGTGGTGGAGGGGATCCCCATTACCTGTAAAGCGCTTTGAGTGGAGGGTCCAGAAAAGCGCTATATAAGTGTAAGCAATTAATTAATTGCTGTATATTGCACTGTACTGTATATGCAATAATGTTGTCCCGTGAAAAGTAGCGCTGACTTTAACAACAGTAGAATATCGTCACACTCCTGTTTTGGGAAAAAAATAACCTAAAGGAGCACGTGTTCTGTCTTTGATATGCATGAGGTACAACACCGTGTCAGTAAGCACTCCCCGGTTACACGCGTATTGTTGTCATCGTTTCTGTGACAAGCAGAAATGACACGGCTTTCCTTCCAAACGTATGCTCTTCTTGATGTGAAGCTGTCTGTCTAGTCTTCGGAAATGTATTCCGTTCAATGTTCAAAGAGTGGACAAAAAGCCATGCTGTACAGTACATGTTTCTACAGTTTCACGCGTACTGTGTTTTGTACACAGGAAGTAGAGCACGGTGTCATTGAGCACTACTGGGTGAAACGCGTGTTTGTCGCTGTTTGACGAGTAGACTTGACACGGCTTTCCAAACGTGTCATTCTTGATGTGAAACTGCAGAAACATGTACTATACATGGATTTTTGCCGACTCTCTAAAAATTGAATGGAACACATTTACACGACCTGACCCTCAGACTTGATGTCTGCTGTTGGCTTGCTGTTGCTGCTATTGTTGGTCACTCGTTAAATCTTGCCAAAAACAAGCAGAACAAGTCCAGGACGACACACAACCCGTTATACAGGTTGTACACTGTTGGCTTACCGTTTACTGTGACCAGCAATAACAGTTGGTATAAGTCTTAGTATCAGGTCGTCGTGAAAATATTCCGTTCAATGTTTAGAGAGTAGACAAAAACCTATGTACCCGTTTCTGCAGCTTCTCATCGAGAAGAGCGTTGTTAAAGTCCATGCTACTTTGCGCGGGACAATAGCATTGCATATACAGTACAATGCAATATACAGTATTAATATAGTAGGCAACATTGTTCACAAGTTAACTATCTCGTTTAAACACAACACATTTCTGGTATAAACCAAACACTGTCTCGTATAAACGGGATCATGTTTTTCTCCGTGGCGCTAATAAGCCTCTTTAGAAGGAGCGCCTCACCACGAGCAAATCTTTCGTCTGGAGCTGTCATTTTGTGAAAGCACACTGCTGCTGAAGCTGTGAGGAGGGGACAGCCACGTTTACAATACAGTTATCGGAAGCATGACGTCAGGAACAGGGTTAGAACAAACAATGAGTTTTAGAGTCAGGAACAAACAGAAAGCGACCACAGAAACCGTGTGTTTTAGCTGGAGCGCAACAAGAGATCTAAAAGTGTCACCGAAGGGCTGTTAACACACGGGGGCGCCGTTTCCCTGAAGATATGAAAGGTTTTAGTCTAGTGCCACATACACCCATCAGCCGGAACTCATATTCATATCACTTCTGACGAAGGCTAAGTTTAAAAAAAAAAAACACCATAGTCTATTTTTTCCACTTGTAATCAATTTATGTGATCCATTGCGGCTTCCCCAGTGTAGCTCATCTGACTTTGCTAGAGAAGTTTACCTGTCAGATTCCTGATCTCAGTGAAGATGTTTAATGCAGTGTTCACCATAATCTCTTCAGTAATTGTAGCAGATGTATGTATTATTTTAACTTAATGAAGGCACTAGAAATTATAAGCACCTACTGCCACTACAGGTCGTTAAAATTCACACACTGGGTGCTAGTTAGTTAATTAGATGACCTTTCAAGGGTTTAGAGAGAGCTCATTCTCATGTGGGTGTGAGGACTGGGAAGTTTCGGTATAGAAAGGGCTTACTGGAGTCAGTGGAATGTGGGTTACTAGCAGGAGTACACAGTTCACAGCTGGCAGCCCACTGGAGCTCAGCAGGTGTGAGCCTGGTCAGTACCTGGATGGGAGACCTCCTGGGAGGAAACTAAGGTTGCTGCTGGAAGAGGTGTTAGTGGGCCCAGTAGGGGGCTCACCCTGTGGTCTGTGTGGGTCCTAATGCCCCAGTACAGTGACGGGGACACAATACTGTAAAAATGGTGCCGTCCTTCAGATGAGACATAAAACCGAGTGTGGTCATTAACGATTCCAGGGTATTTCTTGAAAAGAGTAAGGGTGTTACCCTAGCATAGTTCATCTCTGAACTGGCTTCATCAATCTGCTCTCCTCCCCACTGAGAGCTGGTGTGTGGGGAGCGGACTGACACATCATCCAGGAAAGGGTGGAGGGGATCCCCATTACCTGTAAAGCACTTTGAGTGGAGTGTCCAGAAAAGCGCTATATAAGTGAAAGGATGATGATGATGGTTATTAAAGCTCTGCAGTAAAGTATCCTTCACGTCTATCTGTGCTCAGATCCGCTAACTGCCTAGTTTAAGAGTGAGCCTATCGCATACCGCTTGGTAGAACTGATGAAGGATCTGATAGCTGATGTCTTGCTCAAATAAGTGCTGTTCATTAGTTTAAAATGGTACTGAAAAGCATTCTCTCTTTTTTCAGAAAGACACACGTGACCCTTACATGAAGCCCCGCTGTTGTTTTTGCAGCAGGCTGGGTTTCACAGCTTGCACGCACCAGGAAAATATGATCAGGCCTCTGAGCAGATCTGCAGCAGGGCGGCGTTTTCATTTCCTTTTGTCGCGGTAAGCGGCGGCTTCCTTCACCTACACATGGCTGAACCTGTGCCTGTGTTCATCAGCTTCCTGAGCAGGAAATGCTTTTTTTTCTCTCCTGCCCCGAATATCTGAAAGATAAATATAGACGGGGGTGGGACCCTCGAGCTTCATACTTCACACGACTGCACTTGACGCTGGTTTCTATTTTGACAGACGTGAAGGAGAGGAGACCAGCGTTCCGCACCTGTCCGATGGCGTGTCCCTTCCACGAGCAGGACCCCCGGCGCTGACCCGCTGCTCTGGGCTCTGATGGCCGCTGGGCTCGGCGGGTGTCCGTGCTGAAGGCCCCAGCGGCCGCGGGAGGCCCCCCCCGGGGTGATGCCGGTGATCCTGGGGGAGGTCAGCGTGCTGACCACCCCTCTCTCCCTGGTCAGGCTCTTGGCCATCACATTCGGCTGCGCGGTGTTCAGCCTGGTGGCGGCGGACGACCCTGGCGGCTCCCCCTTCAAGATCTTCTGCATGTTCACCTGGTGCTTCTTCTTCACCATGACCGTGCTCATCCTGCTGGTGGAGTTCATCCAGTTCCAGAGCCTCGTGCCGCTGTCCTGGAAGAACCTGCCCATCACCGTGGCCACCCTGGCCGCCCTGATGACCCTGACGGCCTCCATCGGCTTCCCCTGGCTCGTGCTGCCCCCGGCGGTCAGCGGCAGAATGGTCGCGGCCACCGTCTTCTCCTGCCTGACCTTCCTGGCCTACATCACGGAGGCCTACCTGCTCAAGGTGGGGAGCTCGGAGCAGCGGGGCTACATGGCCAGCGCGCCCGGCCTCCTCAAGGTCTTCCAGGTGTTCGGGGGCTGCGTGATCTTCGTGGCCGTCGTGGACCACGACAGGCGGGCGGCTTATTTCTGGTGGTGCCTGGCGGTGTACTGCTGCTGCTTCCTCATGTCCCTGGGCACCATCCTGGTCATGCTGGGGGACTGCGCCGGGCGCTGCCCCCTGCCCTTCAGCCGCGTCCTGGCCGCCTTCAGCTCCCTCAGCGTCCTGCTGTACGTCACGGCCACCGTCTTCTGGGTCACCGCCGTGCTGGGCCCCGGCCCCCAGAACCAGAACCCGAACCCGAACCCGAGCCAGCCCCGGCCCGGCCTCATCATGAGCACCGTCATGACCTGCCTCAACCTGCTGGCGTACACGGTGGACCTGGCCTTCTCCATCAAGCTGTGCGCCAGGGCCTGACGGGACAGACCGCCCCGCTCTGCAGCCGAGCCGCTCGCCGCTGGGCTCCTGTCGCCCTTTTGTCCGCAGTCCTGGGACATAAACGCACCGCCGCTGGGGACTGAGGTGTGAACTGTACGCCTGGCCTGCAGCAAGGACCTGTGGAAGCAGGTAATCTGTTCAGGAGACATAGATACATATTAACAGCAGTCTGCAGCTCCGGACTACACCTGTGACTGTTCGAACGCTCCGGTGTGCTAGGCTTCAAAAAGAAATATTTTGCTAGGTTCTTTATCATTCTAATTAAAATACAGTACTGTAAATAGATTTTATTTAGAACTATAAACCCATCTTCCCTGAGACTGATATATGCATAAACCGCGCGGTAGCTTTGCTGGTAAAGCACTCGGATCTGACGGATTATGTCCTCGGCCGTGAGGAACGAGGGCGATTTTTTTTAGGGTGGGTCAGCTGGAGGTGCTGTGGGCTGTGAGAGAACAAACAGACGTTTTGTACAGAGAACAATATGAGGGCTCACTTTTTCTCGCACCTGCAGTGTTTGTGGATTTGAGGGTGAGAAGATGTACAGGTGACGAGGGCCCGTTTTGGTGTCTCGCGGGCTACAGGGGACCGTTCGTGGCTTCTGTGCAGTGAAACCTATCAATAAACCTTTTAAACGAGTAGTATCGGTTCTGTATTTTTCCTGTCTGTTTTTTTTTCTCTCCGTTTTAACAAATAACCCACAAGCCATGAAAAAGCGCGGCACGGCGCCTCAAGAGCCCGCTTTGTCCTCGTGTCGTTCGGGCTGGCTCGGGTCGCCCCGGCCTGTCACACCCTCCCGCGGGGATTGCAGTCACGCAGCGCTCGTTCGTGTGCGTGGCTGGGGGGGCGGATGCGGGAGAGGCACCTAGTCTTGGGAGGGCGTAGGACACTCTGCGTGCCTGAGGTCAGTCCGCCCAGGCGTGAGGGGAGCTGGCCCGCTGGCCTTCGCGCAGGCGAGCTGGCGGTAAGAGGCAGAGGAGGGGGTGTCCGCCGTCTGCCTTCTGCCTTGTGCCTCTCGCCAGTCCGCCCGGAGAGCGCACGTTTCCAGCGCGGAGGAGGCTCTCGGAGCGCGCCTGCCTGCACCCCTCCAAACCGCCGCTCAAAACAGAACAATAGCGAAAACCATTTCCTGCCCCAGGAAGTACGAGCAACGGTTTTTTTTTTCCCCGCACCCTCTTTTATTTTCAATTAAAACTGCACATTATGCAAGAGCCCACACACTTGCGAGTGCCGCACAGGAACTGGCCCGCAGCCGCAGACAGCGTGCGCAGCCCGTGTAGGTGCAAAGGGAGAAACACAGAATGAAAGAAAAAAATCCCGTTCTATAAAAGGTACCCTGCCGGAGTTCGCGTTGCATTGGCCTGCCTGTGCACCTCAAAAAAGACGCCGAGATCCTAGCTCGCCTTCCTACTGAGTCAGTCGTGTACGCGGGGGGGTTTCCAAGTATTGTTATGATCATTGTAAATGTTAAAAAGAACACTGTAGGAATGGAAAAAAGAACTACCGCTGTTTTGTTACTTTATTCGTAGAACACGAACGTCAGTCCGAACCATTCTGAAACCATTTAAAGCCAGAAAAAGGCTGAAACAGCTGAGGAAGCTGTAGATTGCCGGTCTAAAGAACCCCATCCCTGGGATTTTAATATCTGGGTCACACAGGTGTGAACAAAACTCCTTTAAGAGTGTCGACAGGAAGCGCTCATCGGTGCCTGGAGCTGTGGAAGTATCCTGGAGTCTCAGACCTCCGGGACTGAACATTGGCTTGGGTCAACGCAAGACTTTCTTTTACAGATGTCGTGGCTGGGTTTTGTAAAGTCGTGAAACAATGGCCATCGTATCGATGTGATACAAACCAGGCAGGATGTTTCAGTTATGTATCGCAAAAACCACTCGGGTGTTTGCTAACAGCAAGATCGTATCAGAGAGGTGGAAGCCGAGGGGACCTGAGTCACAGGGGGCTTAGACTGATCAATATCACAGATGAGCCGCGGGGGTAACCGCCCACTGTCAACTTTTAAAATAAGTAACAAGTGTTGTCATGCAGTAAAAACGAATTAATTTGCCTTTAAAATTAGATCCCTGCAAGATTTGACTTCTGTCGGACAGACGGACTGCAGGGTTGTACTGAACCTGGCTCCAGCTCCAGGCTGTGTTTTGGGCGATTTCTTTAACATCATCTTTAAGGCTTGGCCTGATACGATCTGTAGTCACGATCGAGCTCCCTGCTCCGAGCTCACCGGCTGCAGCTCGGGGAGAAATCTGCATCCTCTCCGTGTGACCCGTTCTCCCTCCTGCCTGGTGTGAAGCTGCTGCCGTCTTTCACACGTTTACAGCCAAACACCAGGCAGGCGACACTGAATTACAGGCAAGTGCAAGGCGCACCACGCAGTCCACGCACACGGGAAATGCTCGGCACGTCGTTGTCAGCCTGCAGGCACTGTGGAGAAGCAACGAAAAAGCAACAGAATATTGAAGTGTGGTTAAAAGTCCAAAATTCAGCAGCCAGAATCCTGACCAGATCTAGTGCAAGTGTTCACATTACTCCTATCCTGGAGTCCTTGCACTGGCTTCCGGTCAAATTCCGCGTAGACTTTAAAATCCTCATGCTCACCTACAAGGCTTTACATGGCTTGGCACCTCAATACCTGTCTGAACTTTTATCGCCCTACTCCCCACCTCGCAACCTCCGCTCTTCAAATTCTGCCCTCCTTACTGTCCCCCAACCCGTCTACATTGTATGGGCGACAGGACCTTCTCCTGCTATGCCCCCAAGCTCTGGAACTCCTTGCCCAAGGATATTAGAGAGTCACCTTCTCTAAACTCCTTCAAATCCAGACTCAAAACCCTCCTTTTCAGAAAAGCCTTTACTTAACTGGTTCCATTCTTCACCCCTCTGCTCTTCTTAATACCATCTTCCACGGTCTCCTCTATTGTTATTGTATTGTACTGTATTGTTGTAATTATAATTGTGTCCTGTCTTGTTTATTGTTGTAGTCTTCTTATTTATTGTTATTGTCATCCTGTAAAGCGCTTTGAGAAGCCACCTTTAAAGGCGCTATATAAAATAAAGTTTATTATTATTATTATTATTATTATAAAAGTGTCGAATTTAAAAAAAGGGGTGTCGAGTTACAATTGTACAATGCACTAGTGAATCCTGGTCTGAAACACGGTGCACAATTTTGGTAACATAGAAATCCAGTATAATACTGCTCTGGACTCAGTTCAGAGATCAACCTGATACAACAAAATAACGTTCGCAGGCTTGATGGAATTTCCTGCACTCAAAGCACAAAATAGATTATTTTTATTCTTGAACGGTTCTGACCGCAAGCGGACCTGATTCAGGAATTCAATATGATCAAATATCCTCATGTCACCTGTGAACTTTCTTCTGTTATTTCTAAACAATAAATATAATGTCATCACAGTGGATTCCTACATTGTTCTTTACATATAAATGAATTTTGCAACTTATCTTCTGAAAAAACTGCAGTCTCATGCATTATCATTTTTACTACAATGTCTACTACTAACAGTTAACCAAAAAAATACAATTTTCCATTTGGTGGTTAAAAATGTCAAGAATGTGGCTGTGTATTGTGTGTGCGTGAGAGGCCTTCTGCCGAGCTAGTTCTTTAAGAATTATTTCACGAACAGGAGCATCTTGTTAGTAAACTAACTGACCACTAGATGGCACTCGTTTCTTTCACAAAACAGGTTCCCGGTGACCCGCTCTGCAAGGACGGCTGCAGATCTCAAGAAGTTTGGGCTGCAGCTCCCGCGGGACAGTCTTAGCTTGTGATGTTTCTTATTTGTGTCAGTGGATTAGAGTCCCGATTGGAATGTTTACGTTACGTATCTCCAGGTGCTCCAGTGTCATGCCACATTGGCTGTCCAGGGTGCTGTCCTGTCTTGTGTCCTGTCCAGGGTGCTGTCCTGTCTTGTGTCCTGTGATTGGTGTCCTGTCCAGGGTGCTGTCCTGTCTTGTGTCCTGTGATGGACTGGTGTCTTGTCCAGGGTGCTGTCCTGCCTTGTGTCCTGTGATGGACTGGTGTCCCGTCCAGGGTGCTGCCCTGTCTTGTGTCCTGTGACGGACTGGTGTCCTGTCCAGGATGCTGTCCTTGTCTTGTGTCCTGTGATTGGTGTCCTGTCCAGGGTGCTGCCCTGTCTTGTGTCCTGTGATTGGTGTCCTGTCCAGGGTGCTGTCCTGGCTTGCGTCCTGTGATGGACTGGTGTCCTGTCCAGGGTGCTGTCCTGGCTTGTGTCCTGTGATGGACTGGTGTCCTGTCCAGGGTGCTGTCCTGTCTTGTGTCCTGTGATGGACTGGTGTCCTGTCCAGGGTGCTGTCCTGTCTTGTGTCCTGTGATGGACTGGTGTCTTGTCCAGGGTGCTGTCCTGTCTTGTGTCCTTTGATGGACTGGTGTCCTGTCCAGGGTGCTGTCCTGCCTTGGTCCATATATTGCTGGGGTGGCCTCCAGATATCCAGGACTCTTACCAGGAACAAGCAGATTTCTGAGAAAGATGAATGGGTGATTTATTCCCTGCATTCTTTATTTCTTAGGTAATGTTGAGCAAGATCAGGGTTCACACAAAGGACTGCATACTCTGTATACACCTATTATACAGTGAAAAGGTGTTTGTTATCTTTTCAGAGATTTTTTCTAAGAAAGGGAACTTTCTTTTTTTCCACTCCAGGATCTTATTACATTTGGAAGCAAAAAGGTTTGGTCGTCTTTGTATATTTGCACTTAGACTGAAAATGGGCACAAAAGAAAAAAAGAAAGAAGTGAATATAAAACTGAGAACAAACGAAATGTCTTTACACAAAGGACTGTGGGAGTGTCGTACAAGCGTCCCAGCCATGTTGTCAAAGCAAATACTTCAAATTGCACGGTTTCTTTCAATTAAAGGCTGGAGATGATCTTTTGGATCAATGATCTCCTAAAACCCAAACGAGCTAGATGAACTGAGTGAACCCCTCTTATCAGTGACCCTTGTAATGTTGTAGAAACAGACTCCATCTCATGTGTAAGGTGAGACTGAGAAACCAGGTGTCTCTCTTTTGGCTGCGGTCAGGTTCGTAGCAGGGAGAGAATCTGAATACAGTTGCACTGCTCGTTTGAGTGAGGCTCCCCAGCGTGCAGGTGGTGGGATGAGTTGTCCAGCACATGCTGCAGGCCTGCAGGGGTTATGGAGCAGAGTCTGCAGGGGGTCAAGGCAGGGCTGTGGTCAGGAGCTGCGCTCAGTGACCTGCACTGCTGGCCGTGGCTCAGGGGTAAGTTTATACACTGCCTTCAAAGGTGGCTTCTCAAAGTGCTTTACAGTAAAAAAAAAAAAAAAGCCCACAGTGAGAGGAGACAGTGTAATTACACACTTACAATAAGGGTTTGGAATACAGCAGGAAGCCAGCAGCCATATCACCCTGCAGCTCTCAACCGGCAGCCCGCTGAAGTTAAGCAGGGCTGAGCCTGGTCAGTACCTGGATGGGAGACCTCCTGGGAAAGTGGAGGTTTCCCACCCTGTGGTCTGTGTGGGTCCTAATGCCCCGGTATAGTGGCGGGGACACTATACTGTAGTGGGCGCTGTCTTTCGGATGAGACGTTAAACTGATGTCCTGACTCTCAGTGGTCATTAAAGATCCCCGGGCATCTCTAGATAAGAGTAGGGAGTTATTCTGGTGTCCAGGACAAATTCCCCCCCTCGGCCTTTACCCTGGCCTCCAAACTGTCTCCATGTGTGATTGGCTTGCACCTGCCCTGCGATGGACTGGCGTCCTGTCCAGGGCGTACCCTGCCCTGCGATGGACTGGCGTCCTGTCCAGGGCGTACCCTGCCCTGCGATGGACTGGCTCAAGCTTCCTGCCACACCGTATGGTATAAAGCGGTTTGGTAAATGACATGGCATGACAGTACAGCAGACGTAGAACCAGTTAAATAAAAGCCTTTCTGAAGAAGAAGGTTATGAGATTGGGAGCAAAAAAACAGAGTTTTGTGGCATAGGGTCCTGTCACAAGAGAGTATAGACCAGAATTAGACAAACAAAGGTTGCAAAGATAGGAGTAGGAAGATACTATTTCAGACAGGTACTGAGGTGCCAAGCCATGCAGAACCTAATAGGAGAGCATGAGGATTTTGAAGTCACCACAAAACCTGACAGGACGCCAGTGCAAGGACTCCAGGACAGGAGTAATGTGATCACTTGCACTAGACCTGGTCAGGATTCTGGCTGTCAGATTCTGGACAAACTGAAGTCCAATCAGTGTGGATTTAGACACTCCAGTGAATAGGGTATAGCAACAGCAGGGCCTCGAGGAACTGCTCTCAGTGAACTCTCTTTGGATAAAAACATCACCCAGATAAACCAACAGTTAAAACAGACTTCAGATTCTAGAAAAACTGTGGTCCTGAAACGCTTGAACTGTGTTAAGCTCAGAAGATTCCAGCTAGTGTGAGCTGCAGGAGAAAATGCTGCAAAACCCCACACCTGAGCCCCAGGAGGAAGGACTGGAGCTGGAGGTGGTGGCTGGTGCAATCAGGGCTGCCTCTGGTAGACTACAGGGGTTGCAGTGTCTGCTAAATGCTGTGGTATCAGGCACCGGATGATTTAGATCTCCTGGTTGCCCTTTGTCACCTGTAGAGAGATTCAGAGGCTCCTGTAGCTTTTTATGCACTGTACAGTATTTTGAAATGATCGCCTTTATAGCTACTATCTTAAACATTACTGTTGTTGTGTAAGAATAGATCGGGCACATTCAGCTCAAACCCGATAAGCTTTATTGACAATGTACAAATTGTCAAAGCCTGAGCACAAGCACAGTTAAAACACGTAGAAATACTCATTCGATATTTTAATTTAATAATTTAAATTAGCATGAATAAATATTCACGGAGTAAAAATAATAAAATAACATTTAAAAAAATCACTTTTCGTACGCATTACAAATTACGTGAAGTCGATTCAGTACTTATGAACACTCCCAACTGCTGTTTTAGTTTATTTCTGGGCCCAAGCAATAATTATTGTACAGCTGTGTATGACGAATGCAAACGCCTCTTTTTCCCGGACGCTTGAGTGTTGCAATATTTAATGAGGTGGGCGGTCCCGCCCCGCCTCCCCCCTCACCAAAACAAACACGCGCCCGGGCCCTGCCGGACAGATTGGATTAATCGAGCCCAGAGCGCGGCGTCCGAGCGGCTGTGTGCGCGATCCTGCGGCTCGGGTTCGATTGCTCGGGCGTGGGCAGGCAGCAGCCCCGAATCCCTGCTCTCCGTCTTGCAGGAACTGCCCCTCCGGCAGTTGTCAACAGGCTGGCCGGAGCTGCAGACGGGCTGAGGCGGGACGGGACACTTCTTCACTCCGCTTGCCCGCGCAACAGGGGGACGAACCAGCGCTGTCACAGCCCGCCGCCGGGACCGGGAGGGGGCTTGCAGCTACACCCGGTGCACGGTAAGACCCCCGCCGGACGCCTCTTTTGTTTTATCGGATGTGCACGGCCGGTACGGGCTGGCAGGCTCGGTGCCAGCGCTGGGCATCCTAAGCCCAGTCCCGTCTCCGCCGGCTTCCTGCTACTGGGCGCCCTGCCGGGGCCGGAGGGGGGTGACGAGCCGGGGACGTCTGCGCCGCTGCTGTCCGGCCGAGACGAGCCGACGTTTCTGGCGACACCGTCCCGGGCAGCGGACGGGTGCAGCTACCGTGCGCTCCGGGGGGGACTCGGACCCGGGCTCGTCCAGGTCCCCCGCCCGAGTTGAGTGGTCGTTTCTCTCCGCGGGGGGGTTGACAGCCGACGGATGAACTTGTGCTCCGAGGCGGGTGCAGCGTCATGCCTCAGCGCCTGCAGCCCCGCGGTGTGTTTATATCACCAGGCTGACACCTGCGAGGAAGAGCACGGCTTAGCCGGGAGATCACCTCCGCAGGCGCCGCGTCTGCTTTCCGGGGTGCGCTTCTCTGTGGCGCTGCGAGCCTGGCCTGGGAAGGGGGGGTCGGTGACGGTTGTTCGCCTGACCGCCTCCTTCCCTCCCTCCTTCAGTGTGTCGCGTCTCAGCCAGTCCCTGCCAGTGTCGCCCGGCGCTGATTTAAATTTAATCTCCCCGTTTCATTTCTCTTTTTAAGTTTATCTCTCTCCCCCCCCCGTACGCCGCGACAGCAGCTGTCCGGGCAATCCAGGTAGAACTGCATAAGCAGCAGCCAGCAAAAACGACTTCAACACGACGGTAGTACCATCGTTATTCCTAGGAATTACAGCGACGTACGGGATACTGACGGTTTCATTGACCATCACAGCATCAGGTGTCGCGTTTGAAAGATCTGGCTTGTAGGACACAGACAGACATTGAAGCCCTCGACCCCTGGCGCTGGGACTGGCGCTGGGCTGCCGGGCCCTTATTCCCCAAGCGGCAGCGGCAGCCTGAGAAACCCCACCTACCAGTCTGTCCGGTCGCCGTGCTTACAGCGGGCCTCGCCGGCCCTGCCAGTTTCACGGTGAATCACAGGGTTGCAATGTGAGCGGGACCGGTCGGCCTGCTCTCTGCTGCTGCTCTCCCAGACAGGTACCGAGCCGCTGGGTTTCTGCGTCAGTAACCAGTAACACTCTTTTGTGATGGATTTCTTGAGGAATTATTTCTCTGTTGTTTTTTTGCGGTGGTGGGAGGGTTATGGAGAGTGTTATCTCCTGATCCAAGTAGAGATGTGGCTTTCCCACCCCTCGGAACCTTTCAGAAACTGGGAAGTGAACGATATTGGCCCGTCGCTGCCGGCTTCGCGGAGGCACCTGACTGCGGTGGCATCTCGATGAGATTGAGAAGAATAACAAACTGGGAGCCTGATCAGAGCACAGGGCGATCCCTTCCTTCTCATTGTGCCGAGGCAGTGAGTCGAGATGAAAAAAACGCATTTCCCTGCTGCGCCCAGGGCAGTGCCAAGGGCCTGAGAGCGCCTGAGCCGAGCCCTCTCCCCGAGTGTGTTGTGTCCTGGAGTCGGGTGGGAGCAGGGGTGTACCCAGAGGAAACCGCCTGGTCTCGTTGCTCCAGCTTCCTGGGGGCCTTTCGCAAACTGGCTGGACAAGAATCCTGTGGGGGAATTAAGCTCCTGCCATTCCGATGAGCAGGATGGGCGAGACGGTTCTCTTCCTGTTCTTCAGCCTTCTTATGTTCCTGGGTTGGAGGCCCAGTGACGCAGCAGAAAGTTCACCGACATCCCTCAGGTGACTCGGCAGAAATTCCCGATGCTGTTCGGAATGTCGTTAGCCAGAGTCCCGATGCAGCGTGCTCCGAACTGAGCAATTAGTTGCGTTCTCCCCTTCGATATATTTTATTTATGCTGCTGCCCTTTGAGATTAACTTTGCGTTGTCGGTGTCTACAGGACTGCTCTCTCATTGAAACCTGATCAATGCCCGATCGCTCGACACTGCTGCCCCATCAGAGATGGATAGTCGCTGCAGTAATATCGTAGTGCCACAGTGCACTTCCACAAGGAGGTATCCCAGCAGATACTGATTTATTTTTATTTTCCTTCTTCCAGGAAACAGCTGAAAACGATGACATGTGAGGCTCCTATGTGGCCTGGTGCAGATACAGTAGTGGGTGGAGATTGAGAGATTGAATGGCACAGACGTTTCAAGGTAAGCTGTTTGAAAGTCAATCTCAGATTTTATTGATCTGGGAGTCAGTGGCTGAACTGACCTTTGGTGGAGAGAAACGGCACAACACCCGTCCCCTTCCTATATTGTCATGGTTTGGATGGGCATTGTCTGCCCATAAAGGTGAGGACAGGGGTCCTCTCAGCTGGACAGACTGACTGGCATTATTAACTGGAGTGCAGGGTGGAAATAAAGTTACGCACTACTGGTGTGGCGCAGTGAGAATAACTCTGTCTTCATCTTTGGTTGTTGCCTTGGCTTGACAGCAGTCCCAAAGGAGCTTACTACTTAGACAGAATTACCGTGCAACTCAGAACTAAAGCGCTCTGCCTACAGCAGAAACAAAGGGGGCTTTAATAAAACTTGTAAATGTAGATTTTAGCATGCAGCAGTGAGTCACCGATTTTTTTTTTTCCTTCTCACAACAAGCAGTAGCTTCTCCGTGTTCTGTTATCAGAACTGACCGATACCTGTCCGATCCTGTAGGAGCCGCTGTGTTTTGCAGTGCAGACCTCTGTGTGCACAAGGAGGCATTGTGGGAGTGAGGCCATAACCGTTATCCAGAAAACGGACTTTTGACCTTTTATTGACATTTGCAGTGAGCAGCACATGTCTCGATATCCCGCTGTGGGATGGGACACGGATCGCGTCTGTTTGCAAAGCCAGGCTGCAGTAGGAGAGTGATAAGCGGTGGGGGTGATCTGGCCCGTGTTGTGAAATCAGCAGTCAAGCAGCGGCCCCTCCCCCGGTCGGCAGGTGAGTGCCAGCTCTCCGCCCCCGCCCTCGGGTAACGGCCTCACTGCGGCACACGGGGCCGTGCCCGTGGAGAAGGGCCAGGCCCGGGCCAGTCCGGGGTGGTGCAGTCATGGCGCTGAGGCCAAGCGCACACGAAGAGCCCTTTGTTCAGGCTGGGTCTGAATGTGACACACAGGAGCAGTGTGAAGCCGGAAGCTGGTTTCGGAAGGGCTGGAATGGCACGCTTGACCTTCCACACTGTGGTTAGTGTGTGCTGCAACGCGTGCTCCGTGTTCAAGGTCGTCTCCTGTTGCATTGGTTTGCTGCGTTCAGGTGGCACTTTGAAGATGGTTTGGATTTTTTTTCCCAGTAAAATCAAACGGGGACACTTCTGCTCCTGGCGCTCCAGTTCTGTGTCGCCTGTGTGTTTCCTGAGCAGTGCTGCTCTGGCTCTTTGGCCCGGGAGCAGGTGCAGGCAGTTGTGAACCTGATACACAAGGTGCCCGTGCTCCTCCTGTTTTCCTTTTTTTCTGGTAGTCTTGCCCTGGGATTTTGTCCCCGTTTTTCATGGAACAGTTGATTTGTGTACGTTTGTGTTTATGGAAAGCAGCATACGCATTAACCGTTGTCCTGTGGTGTTCTTTTGCATTGCATATTATTGTTTCAGTGGCATTTGTTTGTCAGTGAACACACGCCCAGAGCCAGTGAGTGTGTCCCAGGAGCCCTCTCCTTAGCTCTGAGCAGAGAATCCCCGTCCCAGTGTTCCCTGGCTGCTGCTCCCTGTGCCTGTGCGAATCTGTCAGTCTAATCGGCCCAGGTTTTACTGGCTCAGTGTTGCAGGTAACTGTCTCTCTGATTCCTGACTCTGTGCACACTGTGCCCTACTTGTGGGTTTGTGTTTGGGAACTTGAAGGTGTTTCGTTGATAAATTGAGTTATTGCATTTTCAGAACGGTGTCCATCGCAAAGTGTTTTTATACGTAGGAGGGGACCCAGTTCAGCCCGTGGTGTAGCCCCTCTCTGGGTGACACACAGCAGCCATTCTGCACCAGCAGCCCCACTATGCAGCGGATCAGTGGGGGAACACGAGAAGTTTCTTCACGTGTTTTATTAATGGGAAATTTAGGGGAGAAGAAGGGATAAACCTGGAGAGGACACTGAGGTTATCACCCCATGTTGTTACGAAGCGCCGGGGCTGCAATGTGGTTCATACTTAAACGCCTCTGACTTCACCATTTCAGTTCAATTTGCGTATGAAGTGGTCATGCGACACGCATTAGCACACCGCCCTCCTGGCTTAAAGTTTATGAGTATTTTTCAGTAATACCTGCTTAGATGTTATCTCGGCACTCACTCACACTTCCACCGGGTAGGGAAGAGCCATCGAGCCATGATCAGAGATCCGGTTAAACCTGGTAAGTGTCACAGCAAATTCGGAGCCGGTCCTGCGCACACAGGCGCACTGTCCCACACAGGGACAATTCAGAGACGCCAGCCGGCCTCGGGAGCATGTTCTCGAGAGGATCTAGGGAAATGGAACACCCACAAGCATGCAGATTCTCGCCAGGGGGTGCCCCTGTCTGAAGTCGAACCTTCGAGTAGCGCTGGTAGTTAAGATGTTCTAATGAATTAACATATTTTGCACCAGGGCGTGCTCCTGTAATTCTGTGAGCATTTTACTTGCAGTTCGTGGAAGGATAGCAAAGTGAAGGGTCTCACGATTGCAGCAGCTTGGTGTCAGACCTGGGGGCAGCCTGAGTGCAGTGTTAACCAGGTGCACAAGGAAGGTCCGTTCTGTGATGAAGTGAGAAGGGGTGTTCGGGGCCAGGGTTAGGGTGCAGCCCTTGTGTGTGGCTGCTGGGTATGTTCTCCGCTCTTTGTACATGTGGAGTGGACTTAACTTTTTAAAAACCTTTTAAGGCTTTTTGCAATGAGCTGGATTTTAAAGGAGAAGAGAAGATCCCTTTATTGGCCATTTACAATTTCTTGTATTAGGAATTCGTCTTTTCGCATACCCCATGAGACACAGACAGGGAGAGAAGCTGGGGGTCAGAGCGCAGGGTCAGCCGTTTATAAAGCGCCGCAACGGAGTAGGATTCCTCTGCCGGCTGCGGGATGCGAACCGGCAGCCTTCCAGCCACAGGCGCAGATCCTGAGCCACGGAGCCACTGCTCCGCCCCGCTTAGGATTTTAATATGAAACACTCGGTGTCATTAGTTATTTTAATATTCTTTTTAAGTGCTCGAATTTACAAATGAGGTCTTTGTTCTGCCTGTGAGAAAGGCAGAGTCGGTGTGTTATTCCTGAGTGTGCGCTGGAGACTGGCCGAGCAGCTCTCACGCACCCTGTGGGGGGCGGTCCCGGCCCCGGTCCTGGGACTGCCCGTGTCTGTCTAGCGTGTGGGTGCAGGTGCCTGCAAGCTCATGTGCAGGGAGGTCAGTCGTCTGAGGATCTTGAGCGTGTCTTCTGCCCCTACCACAGTCAGACACAAACAGGCCCTGCAGGACGGTCCTGTTTTCTCCAGAGCTTCCTGTGTGGCTGTCCTGTCTCGCGCCCTGCAGGGTGCATGAGGCCAGGCTACACCAGGTGCTGCCCTGCAGTGTTTGAGCTTGCTCTCATTTCGGTTTGGTGCTGTGCTACAGTACAGTTGTTTTATGTCTCGGTCAAGGATGCTTAGTTTCGTACAGCTTGGCACAGCGGGGACATTTGCATCAGTGATCCGAAGGAGTATAACTCCCCACTGCTCCAGGCTTCATTAATCACCACCCAGGGAAGAGTTTTTTTTTTTTTTTTTGGATGCAGGATTTATTTTTATTGAATTTCTGGGGAAGGGAGCACAGCGCTGTCTTACAACGAAGCTCCTGAGCACAGGTACTGCTCAGCAAGCCGGGTGGGAGAGTCTTCAGGGTGTGAAGTGAGGGTACGGCTCAGTCCCTTCGTTATTCGTATCAGGCGCGGCTGTCTCTGCAGGTAAGCAGCTTGGCCCTTTGGTGTTTTTCTCTTGTGCTTTCCGGGGTTGTCTGGACACACAGGGGCAGGCAGCGTCATGGGAGCCTGCTTCAGGTTTAGAATTGGCATGTTGTTTTTGCAGATTTGTACCGCGGGGCGGTGAGGTCATTGTTCCTCTTGGCTGTGTTTGTTTTAAATCTCTGGCTGTTCAGGAAATGGCCAGCTCCTCTCTGGGAAGGCAGTGCTGTTAGTGGTTCGCTTTCTCCGGTAATAGCTCTCAAGCCCAGCCTGTCTGCCCACCTGCATACTAATGTGGGATCGACTCTGAAATCATGCTCCTGCTATTCCCTGGGTCTGCTGGGCAGCCTCTTACGAGCTGAGGTCAAGGCCAGGAGTGCTGCTGTGTCCGTCCGGGAGACAGAGTGTGCAGGGGGTTCCCTGTGTGGGCTCTCTGCTGTCGGCAGCAGGCCGAGCACACACACACCTTCTCCCCCGCAGACAGTGTGGACTGGAGCAGATGCTAGCTAGGAGGTTAAGGGTTCCAGCCCCGGGTGAGACACTGCTGTCGCCCCCTTGAGCGAGGCCCTGCACCCACATGAGTCAAATACGCAGCCGCAGAAGTGGTTGCAAATGTCAGTTGTTTTGGGTAAAGAGGCGTCAGCAGCATAAGGTCAGTAGTCAGTGATGCAGGCAGGTCTCACGGACTCCACACCGCCGTGAGTTAACGGGTCTGCCGAAGTTAGGGTGGAGAGCACCCTCCTTCGCTGCCAGCGCGGCGGCGGGCTTCCGTCCGGGAGATCTTCACCCCTCCCCTAGGAAACAGTGCACCCCAACAAGCTGGGCCCGTCTGCCCCCCCGGGGAGCCTGCTGTCGGCTATGAGGTGGCCCTGGCTCCCGGCCCGGGGCCACACACAGGGCCGACCCGTCTCTGGCTGACAGCACTCTCCTCAGGCATGAGGCCTGGCATTCTTGTGGTCGGGCGAGTGGGAAGAATGAAGGAAGAGAAAACGATTGCACCCGAGTGGGAAAACCTGTTTGGCAGACACCCCTATAGAAAGATTTGCATTAAATGCATTTGACGAAAAGGCAGTATTACAGGCTGTTTGAAACTAGATGTAAATCAGAATTTAAATATGCCTTTTCACATGGAAAATCCAAAAGCATGTCTGACAAGGATATAATCTTACTCATTTTTTTTATTTTCATCTTACATTAAGTGCAGTGGGTGCTTGTTCTTAATTAGGGTCCCTCAGACTGCATCCCTGTCTTCTTCCATTCTAACATATCATCCCTTAGGTT